GTCCCAGCTACTTGGGAGGCTGAGGCAGGAGACTCGCTTGAGCCCAGGAGTTGGAGGTTGCCGTGAGCTGTGAAGCCACAGCACTCTACCCAGGGGGACAGCTTTGAGGCTCTGTCTCAAAAAAACAAACAAACAAAAAAAAAACCAACCTCAGTTCAGAAGCCACTTCCTTTCGGAAGCCGGAAGTGGACAGCACCTTTCTAGAGTAATATTCAGAAATAACTCTGGAAAGATGCTGAGCACTTCTGGCTTCTGAAAGGAAGTAGCATCTGTCCCAAGTGCTGTTACATAGCAAAGTGGGGATGCTAAGATATTAAACCACAGTATTTAAACTCACCTGGACGGTAATATTACAGAACAATCTACCTGAAACCTCAGAAGGTGACCTTGTCTGGAAACATGGTCTCTGTAGATATAATTAGTTAAGATGAGGCCATACTAGATTAGGTCAAATCCTAAATCCAGTAACTGGTGTCCACAGAAGGTCATGTGAAGATACGGACATAGACACAGGGTGGGGGGAAAAAAATCCCATGTGACACCAAAGGCATAAATTGGGAATGATAACAGTATAAGCCAAGGATCGCTAGCAACCACCAAAGGGTAGGATCAGAAAGCCGAAGAGTCCTCCTGACAGTCTTCAGAGGCAGCATGGTCCTGTTAAAACTGGTTTTGGACCCCTATTCTCTAGATCTGTGAGGGAATAAATGCCTTTTAAGTCACCCAGTTGGTGGCAATGCTACAGCAGCCCTAGAAAACTAATACAGAAGCTGATAAACTAAAGCAGATAGTAGACGCAACATCCAAATTACCTAGAAGATAAAAAATGAGAACGATCAATCAAGTAAGTGTTGATAGGAGCTGATAAATTTTGAGCATCTAAGGTCCCTTAGTCAGAATTAGTTTAGGAAAAAAGAGAAACCTCACTAGACATTCAAGCAGAGAGAACCTAGAGCATGGAAATGGTTAAACAGGTATGGGAGAATCGCTGGGGACAAGGGCACATGGAGAATTCCAGACAGACAGGACCTGTAGATGCAGCTGCCTCAGCTTGGGCTGGGAGAAAAAAGGTAAGAAAGTGTGGTTATAAAAACTCAGAAGTAATTTTGGCAGTGGAAACTGGAACCAACTTCTGAGACCAGGGTGAAAGAAACGCTGCTTTATTCAGAATAAGAAGCAAAAGGGAAGAAGTCCCTTTCTCCAGATACGAGGTTTGAAGCATTCACAGCCCCAGTACCACACGGCCAGGGCGTGAAAAGGTGGTTGGAGCTCAGAGAAAACATCTGGCATACCCTGTTTTTAGATGTGTTAGTAATTAGGACAGCTGGTGTCCAAGACAATATTTAACTGAGACAAACAAGCCAATGTCTGTAAAATTTCTTAACACTTGCAGGCGGCGCCTGTGGCTCAGTGGATAGGGCACCGTCCCCATACACCAAGGGTGGCGGGTTTAAACCCGGCCCTGGCCGAACTGCAACCAAAAAATAGCTGGGCGTTGTGGTGGGTGCCCGCAATCCCAGCTATTCAGGAGGCTGAGGCAAGAGAAATCACCTAAGCCCAGGAGTTGGGAGGTTGCTGTGAGCTGTGTAATACCACGGCACTCTCACTCTACTGAAGGCAATAAAGTAAGACTCTGTCTTTACCCAAAAAAAAAAAAAAAAAAATTACACTTCCTCAATTGTTTTCCATTTATAATAATGTCATATTATTTGCCAAACTAATTTTTCCATTAAAAAAATACAGAAGGGGCCAGGTACATGGCTCAGGCCTATATTCCTAGCACTCTGAGAGGCCGAGGTGGGAGGATCCCTTGAGTTCAGGTGTTTTAGACCAGCCTGAGTAAGAAAGAGTGCTATCATCCTGGATGGCGCCTGTGGGTCAGTGAGTAGAGTGCCAGCCCCATATACCGAGAATGGCAGGTTCAAATCCGGTCCTGGCCAAATTGCAACAAAAAACAGCCAGGCATTGTGGTGGGCGCCTGTAGTCTCAGCTATTCAGGAGGCTGAGATAAGAAAATTGCCTAAGCCCAAGAGCTGGAGGTTGCTATGACACCAAGCAACTACTCTACTGAGGGCAATAAAATAAGACTCTGTTTCTAACCAAAAAAAAAAAAAGTGATATCCTGTCTCTTCTAAACAGAAAAACTAGCCAGGCATCCTGGGGGTGTGTGTGTGTGTAGTCCCAGTTACCCGGGAGGCTGAGGCAAGAGGATCATTTGAGCCCAAGGTTTGAGGTTGCTGTGAGCTGTGACACCACAGCACTCAACCTCAGGGTGACTGAGTGAGACTCTGTCTCCAAAAAGAACGGTTTCTTCCATTTTTCAAACAAGTAGAAGTGACTCAAAGCTTTTATTACAATTCAGGTCACCACGAAGCATGCATATAGTATCATTCCTTAGGTTGAGAGTCATAAAAGCCTTACTCTGTGATAAAAGGGAAAATGGGTCTTTCCTTCCCAAATTGATATATAAGGCAGATAGGCTGGGAGACATAACGACAGATAAAAGAGCTGTGTAAACTTCCAAAACAGAAATGTATACTTCACAGCAAGAACAAAGTAATCGGCTCTGCGCCTATGGCTCAACCGGCTAAGGTGCCAGCCATGTACACCTAAGGTGGCGGGTTCGAATCCCCAGCCCGGACTGCCAAACAACAATGATGGCTGCAACCAAAAAATAGCCGGGCGTTGTGGCGGACGCCTGTGGTCCCAGCTACTTGGGAGGCTGAGGCAGGAGACTCACTTGAGCCCAGGAGTTGAAGGTTGCTGTGAGCTG